AAGAGAATAGAGCTGGAAATACACCTGTCAAATGGCTGTGTAGGATAAGTCTTCTCAGTCACCCAGTTCTTTTGGATCTCTTAATGCTGAGCCCACTGCCTGCAGCATACAGCTAATTTTTCATATTAGAATGTCCTGCAGAACTAAGTCAAATGACTTACAGGAATCTAAGCATACTCTGTCTCTCATTAGCTGTATCAAACTTCTAGGCTTACAGAAAAGTTACATAAAATCATTTGAAAGTACCTTTTTTGAATTAGGTTAAATTGGATTCTAGCTTTTGCTAATTTACCCAGGACATCCTTTGGTTGCTTGTCTGTGACTGGCTAGAGATGTATGTTGAACTAACTGGTCTGTAATTTCCTGGATATCCATGTGAACACTTAAATACTGACAAGACATCAGATTTTTTCCCCCCAGTAATCTTAAGTTCCCCAGTGTGCCATGATTTGTTATAAAGAAAAAAATAAATGGTTTAGTGAATTCATTAGCCAGTTAAGTACTCTTGGATGTAAGCTCTTCTCCTGCACATTATAAAAATTGTTACTTACACAGTTTAGCATCTTCCTTAATTACTGATGGAATAGAAAGTATTTCATTACCACTGTAAAATATGAATATTACACATTGTTGTTTCAAATGCAGAGCAGAAATATACACTGAGTTCTTGGTTTTCGTTATGCAGAATGTGTGTGGCACACAGTCACCTGGGGCTTGGGCCCAGCACCTGCAGGTCTCTGCCCTCTCTGCTGCTGGGGCATCCTGCTTCGGGGTTGAGGTGTCAGAAAGTTTGAGAAGTTGGGGAGGTTCAGAGGAGCACCGTGGGTGGGTGATGGGCTGCAGTGACTCCTTGGCAGCAGGAGCTGCAGAGGGGTTGGGGTTGGGCACACCATGGTTGCTCCTTGGAGTTCTGTGTGCAAGTGTGGGCTCCTGTTCTCCAGTGCCAGGTTCACAGGGTGGGAGGGGCTAGGATCCCACTCCCATGGAGAACTGAGGGACCCTCCATCACCTCCTGCCACCTGCTGCTGGACCCTGCTGTGCCTTGCCAAACCTCCCTGCAGCGTCCATTCAGCACTGCCAGGCTTTCCGAGTGGCACTTGGAGGTAAAATTAGACCCAGTGGCTGGAAATTGGAGCTGGGCAAACACAGAAATTAGAATTAGAAATGAAACACATTTTTAATAGCAAGTGCAATTAATCTTCTAGTTAATTGCATCTTAGAACAGCTTGTCATGGTGGATGTAGATTTCTTATCTCTAGTTTTTTTAAAAATCACTGTAGGCTTTGCCCTAGCCCAGAGCAGGGTTCATCCTGCACGGTGGTCAGCCCAGTCCCAAAGAGATCAGACTGATTAATTACAGATCTATGAACCACAGTCTTGTCGTTCCTCTGCACTGTGCTGTCACTGCCGGGACTGTGTTCGGCCCAGGATAATGAGCCCCAGTTTCCCTTCCCAACGCTGCTCACTCCATTGACACCTCATTGACACCTCTGACTTCCCCTTAGTTTCCTTCATTTTGGCCCCACTGGTTTGTACTAGTTCTGTCAGCTTTGAGCTCTGAATCTCCTGCCTGTACTGCTTTCTGAGAAAGACATTCTGGAATAAATGGTGATGCTGCATTTATAATGTTGCTTAAATATTTGCTCTTACTCCATTTCTCTCACGAGCTTTAGCTTTGAGATCTCAGTTGTTTGGCAGTGATGATGGTGTTTCACCCTGTGGGATGGGTGGTGGTTGGGGGTTCCAAAGGACCTTAGGGCTGGATGTGACACTCAAAGGCAAACCTCATCCTCTCCCCAGCACACGAGCACCTCGGGGGCTGCCCCACGACCCCAGCTGTGATCCCCCGTGGGGAGGCACCAAGTGCCCTGGCTCAGGGCAGTAGGAACCTCAGTGTTCATCGCAGGCTGTGACCCCTGACAGCAACACAGCCCCTCTGATCAGCCCTGTGCAGAGCTCTGCTGGGCTCACACTGGGGGCTTGCTTGGCCCAACAGCAGCTCTCCCAGTGCCGAGGGCTTCTGGTCCTTCCCCCTTGGGAGCATGACTCCAGGTGCTTCCTCCGCTTCTGTTTCCATCCAGAGGTGCTGCAGCAGATGCTGACGGCCCTGAGGTGAGCACGGGGACATGTTCTGCAGGTGAATCCCGGGGAGCAGACCCCTTTTGCACAAGGGTGCTCTCTGGGTTGTCCATCCCTGCCCCCTGCAGCCACTTGCTGTGCGTGAGTGGTTCAGGTCACTTAAGGAATTACCAGCAAAGGTGTCAGCAAAAGCAACTTTAGTGTAAATCAGCAAAAGCAGGTTTGATATAACTTTGCAGAGGACATCAAAAATGGTCAGAAGACAAGGAAATGCCCAACAAAAAGTGCCTCAAGGACCTGAAGCTGGAGAAACTTGAGTGGTGACAAAATAGCAATATCTAAATACAGAAAAATTACCCGAGCACCTCTCCTACGAGGAAAGGCTGAAGGAGCTGGAACTCTTCAGCCTGGACAAGAGAAAGCTCCAGGGGATCTCATCAGTGTGGATAAGTGCCTGAAGGGAGGGCACAAAGACAATAGAGCCAGGTTGTTTCCAGTGGTACCAGGGACTGGACCATGTTCCCAGTTGAAGACAGCATTAGTCATGTGCCAGCCTGTATTGTGGACGGTGCTGCATAACCCCTTTTGCTCTGAGTCCTGCATCCTACACTCTGAAAATATCAGGTTTGCTCATAGGCTCTTTAGTTCTGTCAGAGCTACGAGACATGTCCATATAGTGACCTGCAGATGATGGATGTCTTCTGAACTAAAGGATCCAGAGCACTCAGCTCAAGTAATTACTGGGGCAGAGCAGTGCACTAGGAGAGAGCTGCTTCCAGGCTAAAAGTGCAAGAGGTACCAGCCTGGTGCCTTAGCAGCCCCATAAATTATCTGAAGAGTTTGGCTAATATCGCTTTCCCAGAGCAGGATCCAAACCCAGGACGGAGGGAGGGCTTGGCTCTCCTAAGCAGAATAATCCTTAAAGAGATATGTCAAAGGATCCTGCTTTGTCCAAGACTACAGGAACAAAAATTTCTCCTCTGAGATCTTGTCAACAGCAAACCCATCCACGTGGGACTGCTCTTGCTGCTGCTAATGAAGATCCTGGGTTCTTACTGCTCCAGCTATGGCTCTGCCAGGTCTGCTTCTGAAATGTGTTCCCCAGGTGTGAGTGCAGGTTTCCATAGCCACTGCAGATGACTGTGACAGGTTTTGCTGTCGGAAGCTGAAGACGGAAGCACATGGGGCAGCTCTGCAGTCAGGGAAAGCCTGTGGGACCATGTTTGCAGAGGCCACCTGGGGCCTCCTGGGTGCTCCTTGCCCGTGAGCTCTTGCCCACCCCAGGCTGTGTGTGGCTGCAGGGTCTGATGGACCATGTCATGGGCACATCCAATAGCAGAGTCTGTGCCTGGCAGGAGCCCAGCTTCAGTCAAACAGCACCATGGCCATAGCCAGACTAATCTCTAGATTTCCCATACTTTGAGTAAATAATTTTGCAACGTTACACTTGCTTTTAATATGTTTAGCAGCTATATTGCAGGAATGCCTCGAGGCTGTGACTAGATTTAGTCCTGTTGTGCTAGATTCCATGCAGAGATCGTAAGTGGAGCAGGTAGAGGCATAAAGTTAAGGCTGCATAGCAGTTTCCATTAGGAAGACCTGCTTTCATTTGCCAGTCAGTCATTACACTTTAACTGTAGCAGTTGTGGTTGCCATGCTCTGTGTCTGTCTCAGAACTTTTCCCATTACAGATACAGCAAAAATTAATTGGTCTCTACCTGGCCAACAGCCGGTGCTCCAGGAATACACTCTAGACTCCTCACCTCAGAGAGGAGAGCTGGCCCAGATGGTTCTTTTTCTGCCCAGTAGCCTAGGATCAACTTCTCCCAAATTACCAGCCTCTGAGAATCCCCCTTTTGTGTTCCAAGCAAGGACATTTTTAGAGGCTGATGGTTTTCTCCTAAGAAGCCTCTGCCTATGCTGAGCAAACTGCAGTTAGGGCAGATCCACTGTGCTAGCCAGACAGGTCATGCACGGTCTTCAGCACAGACACTGTGTCCCGAGTGTCAAGTGTTGAGCAGGACACTTTCCAGTCTTGCCTACTGACTCCAGAAAAACAGGCAAATGGACTCATCCATGATCATGTGTCTGCAGCAAGGAACGGCAAAGAGGAGGAGGAGGAAAAAGCTTCAGCAGTTCTAATGCAGAAACCAAAGAAGAGGGATTGAAAGCAAAGGCAGACTGAGGACAGAGGCAGTGGCATGACGGAGGATGAGATAGGCCAGGCTGGTCTGTGATTGCTGAAGGCACTGCTGGCAGAGACTGGACTTGAATTTGGGTCCCAGCCTGGTGAGACTCAGAACCAGGCTGAGGCTGAAAACACAAGGCATGACCCAGCAACCTCAAAACAGAAGGAGAGAGTAGGTGTGCCCCTGAGACTCTTTCTTAGCCTAATGTCTGATAATGTACCCAGTGAGGTCCTGAGAGGTCTCTGTCAACAGCTGAGAGTGCAATGAGACCAGGGGCTTTACAATTCCACACACAATTAATATTTCTGCTGTACCTGGCATGTTGGACGGTGTATATTAAGGCACATTAAGGGAATGCACTGGCTCTTTGCAAGGGAGGGATGGAGCCTGATAAACCAGAAGTGAGGGACTTCCTGCAGGGAAGGTGTGTGGAGAGGGAGAGATGTCCAGGGAGCAAACTGAGCAGTGGAGGTCTGAGCCTCAAGTGGAAGCTATGGAAACTGCATTTCACTAGACAGCAAGAAGCTATGGAAGATTAGACAGAAGTTACAGAAACTGGGAAAACCTGTGGAGATCCAAAGAGTAACAGAGTTATCATGTGCAACCTGGACCCTCACTCTGAGTTGGCTCACCCTGCAAGGATGGTGAGTGTGGGAGCCCTGTCCCGTTCCATGTACACCTTGGAATACAGCAGCACAATCTTTGCTCTGTTTTGCAACTTTTTAATTTTTTCTGCAGTCCTTCAACCTTTCCTTATCTGAATCTTGGCTTCATGATTTGGCATATGAGTTTCTTTCGTTCTTTACTACAAAGTCTGATGAGACAAAGTAAACCAGAGTGGAATAAGCTGTTGGACCCTGAGTACATTCGCCCCTCATGGGGGTTCAGCCCTCTGGAATGAGGGCTTACTCAAATGGTGCATCTGTCTGTCATCAGATCTGCTCTGCTCACCTTCCTCAGGTCCTGTGGACTTCACCCTGTCGACTTCAAGCCCTTGCTGCCTGGTTTCCCACCCCTCTGGAAGCAGTCTTTCCACACTGCTCCCAGCATGGAACAGAGATTGAATGTTTGAAGGGAGACAGGGGCCGCAGGTAATGCAAGTGTATGATGAGGTAAGCAGAAGCTGTCTTGGAGACACAAGTAGGGACTTACTGGGTGCCAGATATTGATGTGTAGAAGTCAGTATGGAGCTTGTGCTCCAGGCTTCAGGTAAGACCTGCTGCTGTGGGCACAGACCACCATCCTCCCTCGTGGGAGACACGTCACCCCAGCTCATTCAGCTTCCCAGCAAGGTCACAGAGTAGAGCAGTTTCCTGTTGCTCTCAAATATCTTGCTAACCTATCTGAGGGTGTGAGGTGTGGGTTGAAGGTTACGTAGGAAAGGTTCATTGAACAAATGATCAAATTTCCATTGCTCAGGAGTCAGGAAGCTGTTTGCATAGCCTGGATTTGGGCCTCTTTAGGTGCAGTCATGAGATCCATGGCTATTCTTTCCCTTTCTCCATGGTGTAGTGATAGCAGGGAATGGACCCAAACTGTGTGCATGAAGATGACTCCAACCCAAAGGTCCCTTTCCCACAAACATGCCAGGAGAGCTGGGCCAAGGACAGATGCTGACCTGCAGACCTGGACCATGTCCTTTGTATCACAACTGATCCCTGTGGTGGGATCCATCCAAATGCTCCTCACTGCCAGCTTCCTTCCCAGCCTGGAATCTGGGCCCTCATCCTGGACTAGGGACTGACTGGTTGATGACCTGCAAACACAGGCATCTCTCTCTCCCTTAGTGATCCAAGGGTGGGAGATGTTTGCATCAGTGGTGACAGGGATCCAGTGGGCCTCAGTTTTAGGATTCAGTATTTGAGTTTGGATGATTATTTTACCATTGGCTTTTCCACACTTGTTTCCCTGGCTGGGGGCAGGGCAGTTCTCGCTGCAGAGGGATATTTCCTTGGGACTGCAAGGATGTGCCACAGAGAAAGGCACAAAAGACAGGAAAGAAAAAGGAGGCTCTGTGATGTCATAGCTGGACCCTGGGGAGTCAGACTGTGCCTGTTTAGTGGAGGAAGGCTGAGTACCTGGTAGACCCACTTTGCCTAACTTACACACTCCACACAGGATCCAAGTGTCCAGCTCCATGGCTGGGCTTTCATGTCCCACACAAAACATGTGCTTCAAGGCTGCAGCAAAGTGGTGTTCCAGATCTCCTCAGGGACAGAGCAGAAGGTGATGGTTTAGAAATCCATGTGTTCATACAGATAGTAATGCCACCAGGGAGCCTGGGTAGCTAAGCAGCCAGAGGTACTGCATCCCTGGTCAAAGGGGGAGCGCAGGCAGGAAAACACAGGGGGCCTGAAAAGAGGAATACCCCTAGGTGAGAGACGGAGGTCTGGCGTGTCACTGTGCCACTGAAAATACAGAGTGAGCACAGACACGACTTCAGCTGTGGCATTTCTCAGCGTCCAAGTGCTTTACGTAGCAATCCCGACGCTTTTCTGAAGCAGGGCTTTAGTTTGCCTGATGCTCAGCATATTGCAGGCCCCGTGAGCAGCTCCCTGTAGACAGGAGCACAACCTAAATGTTGAGCTGGGGGGAGAAGTCCTCTGCTTTAGCGTGGAGACTCCCCACAAGGGGCAGGCGATGTTCCCCGAACACACAGAGCGTAGCGGAGCCGCAGAGCTCTCGCCGCAGCTCAGGAGCTTTCAGCTCACACGGGTCTCGCTTGCTCTGCAGACGGAGCGATGCACACCAGGGCCACCGGCCGCCACCCGGGGGACGCGTGTGGCACTCGGAGTGCGGGGGGTCGAGCCCCGAGCTCTGTGCTGCTCAGCGGGGGCCGGGGGAGCGCCGGGGCCGGGACATCCGCCCCCGGCCCCGCGCCGCCGGGGCTCCGCGCCGCATCCCCGCTCCTGCCCGCCGTGCCGAGCACCGGGACCACCCCGCGGGGCGCGGCGCCGGGGCCTCTGGGGAGCAACAAGGGGGGACCCCTTTCGGATTTCAGCCCTCTCCGTTCCCACCACGGCCCGAGTGCGTCTGCAGACGGTCCCGCGGTCTCCCCTGGCCCCGCGGCGCCCGAGCCCGCCGGTCTCACGGAGATCCCGCTCCGAGCCCACAGAGGCTCCTGGGCCGGGAAAGGGGCAGTCCGGGCCCTGGCCGGGGCGGGCCCCGCGGGTCTGCGGGGCGGTCTGCGGGCACGGCACGGCACGGCACGGCCGCAGCGCGACGGGGCCAGTACCTGGCCAGGGCCAGTCCGTCGGGGCCCTGGAGCCCGCCCATCGCCGCCGTCCCCGGACCGCTCCCTTCGGACTCGGGCGCCGAGAGCGCTGGCCCGGCCCGGGCCGATTGCGGGGCCGGCTCGCCCCGTCCGTGATCCCGGGGAGGGTTGTGCCGAGCGGCGCGGCCCCGTCCCGTCCCCACAAAAGCACCCTTGTGCTAGCCCCGTAATTGCTAATCATCAATCACCATTAATAACAGCTGATGAGGCGGGAGGGGGAGGTGCCTTCCCAGGGGCCGGCCGCGCCGGGGGAGCGGGGCGCTTTGCCCCGGCGGAGCGGGCGCTGAAGGAGGAACTCGACCGTGATGTGCGGAAGATGGATGAGAGCAGAGGGCGACACCCCCGCCCGCCTCCCCTCCCTCCTCCCCCTCCCCTCGCCGGCCCGGCCCGGCCCCCCCGCGGCGGGGCGGGCGGGCGGCTCCGAGCGCGCCTCACTCCGCCGCGCCGAGACAGCGAGCGGGCGGACGGGCGGCAGCTCTCGCTGGGCGCCGGAGCCCACCGGAGGCGGCGGGCGCGGGCCGGGGCCGCGGCGGCGGCGGGGCCCGGGGGCGGCGGCGGGATCGCGGCGAGTTGGCGGCGGCCCGAGCTCGCCGGAAAGTTGGTGCCGGTTGAGCCGGCGGCGCCCGCTCGCCATGCAGAGACCCGGCGGCCAGGGGACCGCCTTCTCCATCGATTCGCTCATCGGGACGCCGCCGCCGCGCTCCGGGCACCTGCTCTACACCGGGTACCCCATGTTCATGCCGTACCGGCCGCTGGTGCTGCCGCAGGCACTGTCCCACGCCCCGCTGCAGTCGGGGCTGCCGCCGCTGGCCCCGCTCGCCTCCTTCGCCGGCCGCCTCACCAACACCTTCTGCGCCAGCCTGGGCCAGGCCGTGCCCTCCATGGTGGCGCTCACCACCGCCCTGCCCAGCTTCTCCGAGCCCCCCGACGGCTTCTACCCGCCCCAGGAGCTGCCCCCGCCGCGCGCCACCCCCGACGCCGGCTGCCGGCGAGGCGCCGAGGGCCTGGAGGCGGAGGAGCTGCCCCCGGGCCGCGACAAGGGGCCGCCCGAGCCGCCGCTGCACTTTCCGGACCCCTTCCCCGGCCTGGCAGGTAAGAGTGGCGCGGGCCCGCCCCGCCCGGCGGAGAGCGGCCGGTCCGCCTCTCCCGGACCCCCGCAGCCCCGAGAGGACCCTGACCGGTCTCTCCCCGCCGCGCCGGCGGCTCCTGGGGATGGCGGCCCCGCAGAGCCCGAGCTCGTCAGGACGGGAGCCACGGAGCCGCGGGCGCTGGGGGCTGGGGCGCAGCGGGCAGGACGGCGGGGTCGCTACGGTCTCGGCGGCTGGACCTGCCCGCGGCTGCGCTCCCTGTCCGTCCCGTCGGGCCGAGACGGGAGGACAGGGACAGTTCCCTGCCGTCCGGGGCCGGCTCCGCAGCGCCCGCAGCTTTTGCGGACTCCACTCGCTTCGGCCGGGCCGTGGCGCAGGAGTGGGGGGAGCGCGTCCGGTCGGAGGGGCTGCCACGGGGTGCCATGGGCCGCCCGGCAGGACCAGAGCGGAGCGGCCCGGAGCCGCGGCCGGGCCGGCGGCGCGGAGCTCTCCGAGGTCCTGGCACCCGGCCCGGGGCGAGCGAGGCGGAAGGCGACGGGGCGCGGCGCGGCCCGGCCCGCAGGGCGGCCCGCAGCCCTCCCCGCCCGTCCCGGTCCTCATCCCGGTCCCCGTTCGGGACCCGGTCCCGCTCGGCCCGGCGCGGGGCTGCCCCTTGTCCCCAGCACGATGCCGCGTTCGGGGCCGGTGCCTCCCGGCGTCGCCGTGTTGCGGCTACCGGCGCTCCGAGTGCCCTCCGAGCCCGCCCCGCGGGGGGGGCGGTGGCGGGGCAGGTCCCGCGCCGAGGCGGCCCCCGCAGCCGCGCTCCCTTCCGTCCCGGCCGCCGTGCCCGCTGCCGTGCCCGCTGCCGTGCCCGCTGCTCTGCCCGCTGCCGTGCCCGCTGCTCTGCCCGCTGCCGTGCCCGCTTCTCTGCCCGCCGCGCGCCGCGTCGGCACCGGCTCAGCCCGACGTCGCGGGCAGGCAGCAGCGCTGCTCCCGGGACCCCCCGCTGCAGCTGGGGGCAGCTCCCATCGGGGTCCTCACCTTTGTGCGCTGCGGCCGCTCCCCGAGTGCGCCTCCACCGGCCTCGGGGACTTGTTGCTCCGTATTTCTCAGACGGGTCCAGCGCTCGGCTCTTCCCCCTCGGCTCCTGCAGCGTGGGGCGTGAGGGGTCCCTGCGGCGAGACCCAGACAAACCAGCTGCTGCTTCTCTGGCGTGGCCTGTCCTGACCACTCCTGAGATCCACCTTTGTCTCACAGGCTTCTTGGCATGGTTGCATGCTGCAAAGTCTCTGCTGCTTCTCGCACTGCTCGGCTGTTTGTTCTCCATCCTCTTTTTAGTCTCTCCTGGATAAGCCCAGGTATCTCCCTTGCCCTGCCTGGTTCCTCCCTCAGAAGAGCATTTTCCTCGCTCAGGTTATCCCTTGAACCTCACCCCTCACATAGGACAATGGCAGCATTCTGCCTCCCCATTGCCTTTGTGGGTTATTAGGGCATTGGTGCACATCTGGTGCTCCCCAGCCTCCATGCTGCATTAAAAACCCAATGCGATCTCATTTTTATTGTGAAAGTCTCCTCAAGGGCAGCGCTGCCCTGGCCAAAACCACCTGTCCATACGACTTCATCTTCCCAGTCTGTGGGCAGATGAACTGCATTGTGCTTGATCTCCCTCCGTGGCTCCTCCGTAGCTGAGCCCAACATGTTCCCTCCCCCCAAGAGACTCAGACAAACTGTCCCAGAGAGTGGCCACTTCTGAATCCAAGAAATTCTACCTCTAAGACTTCTCCGGTTGCAACTGGCTCATATGGAAAGGAAGATGTCTTATTACCAGCTCATTCCCTGCTGCCTCTGAGCACTGTGCTTGCTCCAGAGCCATGAAGGATGCTTGTCTTTCTGCATAGGCATGTGCCCATGTGGACCCAACTCTGTGGGCTGCTCTGCCCAGATCCAAGAGGATTTGTCTGGCCAAATGTGGCCACCTTCTCCTATACTTAATATTTCTCCTGACTGTACCAGAGATGGACAGTAGGGTCTGTTTTACTAACCATCTCAGATTGCTGTGGGTTTTTTCCAATATTAGGGAAGAGAAAGATTATTTGTGTCAAAAGGAGTCATCAAAAACCATCTATAATGCAGTTTGTGCTCACATCCTGTCTGTGGCCCTGGCCAAAAGCAATTGTCCAGGCAAGAGCAAGAGAGCACAATCTGTGCAATGCTCAATTCTAAAATGACACTTTCCTCATATTCAACCATCTGCATCAGGGGCTTCTTGAGACAGTTGTTGTTTCTGTATATTTAGTAAACTTCGACCAGTTTGTTTTCTGTGACTTTATTTAATCTCCCTTGGAGTCCACCAGAAAGGAATGATAACCCTGGCATCAGCCACATCCCAAGCCAAGGTGTTCCAGAGATCTCTTATCTGTAGAAGAACCACGTAAAGAATAAATGCCTCCTTTTGTCTGTTTTACTGACATCAACTGAGTTATACCCACACTTATACTTCTGTCCCCGGGCTCTGTTAGTATCTCCATTGCAGGTGTCTATGAACACAAGATCAGTTGCTTGCCAGATCAGCCAAAGAGGTCAATGCCCTATTTTAGGGCCTCTCTCTGCGTCCTCTGGGTTTCAAACTCGCCTCCAGTTGTTGCCACCCTTCTTGAGTGGGTAGAGACATGTAGGGAAACTGGTGGTGAGAAGCAACAGAGCTTGGAGTCTGGTTTGTTACTACAGCTGCAACAAAGAGCATGACCCCTGGGATAAGGGTACTCAACACCCAGGACTCCACAGCTCTCCTGAGAGCAGGTTTGTTCCTGAGCTGTGCAGGTCTCCTCTGAGATCTAGGCTGTGATCTGAGACCCTCTCTTGGGTTGATGTAGTGACTGCACATTCAGTCGGGGGCAGGAGTTTCTGTTGTTTCCTTGCGTGCTTACCAACACGAGGCTCTTCTGGCTGTCACAACACCAATTCCTGATCCAGGTTTCCCTGATCCTGTTTGAATAGCTCTGTCTCCTGCAACACCCAACTCTTCTCACCATGCTTTCCACATCCATAATCACAGCACCACAGAATGGTTTGGGTTGGCAGGGGCCTTTAAAGACCATGGGCAGGGAAATCTTCAACTAGATCAGGTTGCTCAGAGCCCTGTCTGACCTGACCTCGAACGTTGCAGGGGATGTGGCATCCACCACTTGTCTGGGCAACCTGGGCCAGTGTTTCACCACACTCACTGTGAAATATTTCTTCTTTATATCTCGTCTAAATCAACCCTCTTTGAGTTCAAAACCATCAAACCCCTTGTCCTATTGCAACAGGACCTGTTAAAAGCCTCTCTGTGTCTTTTGTATAAGTCCCCTTTAAGTACAGAAAGGCTGCAATAACGTCTTCCTGGAGCCTTCTCTTCTCCAGAGAGAACAACCCTGACTCTCTCAGCCTGTCCTCATAGCAGAGGTGCTCCAGCCCTCAGAGCATTTTTGTGACCTCCTTCAGGCCCTCTTCAATGTCTTTCCTAGGATCAATGAACAACTGGGACTTTGTGAAGAGCAAACCAGAGGGTCAGCTCTATTCTTCATCTACTGCTTCTCGTTGATTTTTCAGTCACGATGCTTTGCTTCATGACAATTTCATTTCCTGTTCAAAGGCCTTGGAAGTCTCCGTGTACACCCCCTACACTACGTGTGGGATCCTCTGTCTCCGTTCCTTCCTCGCTGGAGACACAGTAGGTGACTAACAAACCAATATACCAATTTTCTTTGTGAAAACATCTGGTTTAGATTCTGTCGTCAAATAGTTCCAACTTCCTTACTGCAAACCCAGCCCTTTTATAAGACACAAATGTGAGAGTGCTAGAGACTGTTCAAAATTTGGGGTCTGGTTAAGAAGAGAGTATCCAGACATAGCACCTGTTTTACAAATTGTCATGTTGCAGTGGTAGCTCAGCCTTCTTCCAGTCTCTGGGCACAGCCTGGGCTGACAGGAGCAACCTGCCTCATCAGCACTGTTTGCTGGTGTGGCTGCTGGGATGCCATCCTCCATCCCTGGGGAATTGCAGTGCCAGGGCAGGACCTATGAGAGCTCTTGGGGAAGACAATGATTTCCTCATAAGAGCTCTCTTACTTTGTCAGGCCCCGTGCTCCACAGGGTGGAGGTGGTACACAGAAGTGAAAGCTCTCCTTTTCTTCAGCAAAGTGCTTGCAGCCGAAATGCTCCTTGCCACCTGCTCCTAATCCTCAGCCTGGCCAGCACAGATTCTCTGGGTCCGTATCCACTATGCATATGGGAGGTGTCTTCATCCCCATCCCCAACCCTCAGGAAGAAAGAGGTCACTGTTCTTCTGCAGCAGGACAGAGATCAAGTTGTTCTTCCCACTACACAAAGCAGTAGGAGCAGGCAGATGAATCCAGATCTCCAAAACTGGCCACCTGCTCTCAGGAAGCCACAGACTTGCTGCAGGACTGACAAGGGAAATGGGGGCTCTCACACCGTCACCAGACTCCCAGCAATGTCTTCAGGGCTCAAATAATCTCTTGCAGTAGCTGTTTGTGTATTTGAACCCTGCCCTTTCAGGCTTCTGAGGTCTGTTCTGCCTTTCCCACTGAGATGAGGTGAGGTGGCCAGAGATCCAGTGCTCTGGGTTGCATGTGCCAGTACCTGAACACTGCTTAGAAGTTTGAAGAGCTGCTGCTTCTTCTTCTGCATGTTGGCTTATATTGAATGGGAGTGCTTCAGGACTGGCTCCTTCTGGCAGTGATTCATGCTCTTGGGTCAGACTTGAAGAATTTTCTTGTCTCCTCTAGTCTCAGCATGACAGAAAAGCTTCCTCACCTGTTTGTGCATAGCTGTGGGTCCTCCCTTCATGACCCCTGGCTGTGACTGGGGACATCTTCTCACTTTGTTTGAACCCTTCTACCATGGAAGTGACCACCTTCCAGACCTCTTTCCTCCCCCATCTCCCACCATGTCCTCCCTTGCTCCATGGCTGTTTAATCATTCAGTCAGCAGTTTGGGACAGAAGAAGCTTGCGAGGAGAACATTCATACCCTTGTACTTTATCAATATCCTCGCAGCAAAGGAGAGGTGTCCACAGTGGTCTAAGCACTGCATCCTGTCCAGTGGCCTGGGATGAGGTGCTGTCTCTTGTGTAATGTTGGCAGGCTCTGTCCTGCCCCTCTGCACATTGCTGGGAGAAGCTGAGCCCTGAGCATCAGCTTTCTCAGCCCGTCGTTCCCTGGCTGCACAGAGAGCCACTGACGGGTCCTGGGATTAAGGAGGGAGAGCCACCAGTGGGACACCCCACATCCTGTAGAGTAAGGAAGTTTGTTGGCTCTGGATACTCTGGACAGTCCTTTAGCTCCTCTTGGCTGGCTTCTTGCTGAACAGAATCAATGGTCTGGTGCAGTGAGAAGGGACAGGGAGGGCTGACCTGAGGGGCAAGGTTCTTTCCAATGTGGAGGTCCGGACAAGCCCTTGAAGGGTTGTGACGTGCTCTGCTAGATCAAGACCGTTGTGCTGCTACGGCTGGGCTGTGGGATGGGGATGAGGCAGCTGCTGGGGAGGTCAGACCCCAGCGTGCCCGCCGGGTCTGTGGGTGCTGCCCCTCGGAGCCGAGCAGGCTGCGGGGAGCAGGGCATTGGGGTCCTGGACTGGAGCAGCTGGCGCTGCCCGCGGCAGAGCCCGGTGCGGGGCTGCTGCTGGGGCTGGGACCGTCGCTTCGGCCTCCCCGGGGCTGCGGAACGCGGTGATGGAGGGGTCCGGGTCTGCGGGAGCAGCTGCAGCCGCCCGCCGAGGGAGCGGGAGGAGGCCTCCCCCGCGGCTGCGGGGGCTCCGGGCGCGGAGGGACGGGGCGGGGCGGGGCGGGGGCCGAGCCGGCGGGCGCTGACGCTGTGTGCCCCGCAGACGGGAAGGCGTACAGCTCGGACGAGGAGAAGCTGGAGGTGAAGTCGGCGGCGACGCCGTGCAGCGAGCGGGAGGAGGAGAGCTCGGCGGGCGAGAGCGAGGAGGAGCCCTTCCTGGACGGGGCGGCCGCCAGCACCGCGCTGGGCGCTAAGGGCAAGGGCAAAGGCGGCCCCGCCGCCGAGCAGCCCCCGCCGGGCTCTGGGGCCGGGAAGAGCCGCCGGCGCCGCACGGCCTTCACCAGCGAGCAGCTGCTGGAGCTGGAGAAGGAGTTCCACTGCAAGAAGTACCTGAGCCTGACGGAGCGCTCGCAGATCGCGCACGCCCTGAAGCTGAGCGAGGTGCAGGTGAAGATCTGGTTCCAAAACCGCCGCGCCAAGTGGAAACGCATCAAGGCCGGCAACGTCAGCAACCGCTCGGGAGAGCCCGTCCGCAACCCCAAGATCGTGGTGCCCATCCCGGTGCACGTCAACCGCTTCGCCGTGCGCAGCCAGCACCAGCAGATCGAGCAGGGCGCCCGGCCTTGAGCCTGGCGGGGCTCCCGGACCCCGGGGCGGGCGCCGGGGGGCCTGGGCGCCCGCTCCCACTCCTCTGTATATGTCCCTTATTTATTCCGTGTAAACTCTGTACATACGGCAGCGTGTCCGTCTGTCCGTGCCGTGGGGAGTGCGGCTGCCCTGCCGCCGGGCCCCCCGCCCGCCGCGCCGGGCTGAGCCAGGCCGGGCTGGGCCGAGCCGGGCCGGGGCCGCGCTGCCTTGGGCGCCCGCCCATGTATAGCTGTGATTTCAATAAATTATTTTCTATGGAGCGAGGCCACGTTCTTCCTCGCTGCAGGGATGCGGGCCCGCGACCCCGGCCCCACGGGGGCGGAGAAGGGAGGCGGAGAAGGGAGAGGGACGGGAACAGGGACAGGGACGGGCAACATGGGCAGGGAAAGGAACAGGGGCAGGAGCACGGGCAGCGGGCCGACCCCGAGGGGCGGCCGCGGAGGCCTGGGAGGGCAGCCGGCGAGGGCGGGAAGCTCCGGGGCTCACCGGTCCCTCGGCCAGCGTTGGTACCGGGGCCCACGGAGCCGGCGGCTCTGAGGGGAGCAGCGGTGGCCTTGCGGGCTTTATCGCACCCAGTGCAGTGCCAGTACCGAGACACAGGAGGGGGAAGGGAGAGGAAGGGCCGGAAAGCGCCCGGGAGCATCTCTAGGTCCACCTTCCCGCCGGTGGGGCCGCGGCCGGGGCTGGGGCCGGGACTGGGTCGGGGTCGCCTCCGCAGCTCACCCCGGGGTGGGGGAAGGTGTGCAGTGCCCCAGATTCCTAACACGGCTGCGGGTCCTGCCCTGATCTGGGACAGCTGCTTCCCCGGTGCCCAGGCCCAGGGGCGGGAGCAACAATGAAAGGGGCTCACACATCCAAGCCAGCCAGGGTGGAATTCTCTGCTCTTGAGAGCTACCACATGAGATGCTGCTTCTGCCACCAGCAATCTCAGACACTGAGCCCGATCCCAGAACCCTATGAAGGTCCAGTTGACACGGGGCACAGCTGCACACCAAGTCAACAGCACAAGGGCCGTGTGATTCCACCACTCCCCAGGTGTCCAGCCGTGGGAGTCTCTGCCCCGGTTTGATGAACATCAGTGAGTCCACGGGGCAAAGGAGCTCCTGCACCTGTGCTGTGATAGCAACACCCATTGCAATTCCACCAGATGATCCTGGACAGGGAAAAGGCTCTCTCCAAGGTGCTGCTGGGGCTCCAATTGCTCCAGGGTTTGGTAGGGAGTTTGGGTCAAACGGGGTCCAGCTGGCCATTGTCACCTTCCCTGGGAGAAACAGCCTGGGAGAGCAGGAAACATCTCTGAGAGCCAGAGCCGACTTCATCTTCCTGGGTGCCCTCCCTGATGCCACAGCAAGGGCTGGGGCACAGTGCTGCCAGGAGGAGGAAATGCTCCCTCCTCATGGCCCTTCCCTCTTTGGCAGGTACATTCTGTTCACCTGGAGTGTGGAGCCCATGCTCAGCCTGTACCACTGAGCCGTCCTGCAGCAGCCTGGCACCTCAGAGCATTAGGGGTTACTGTCCCTGCCTGTCAGCCACTGGCTCCAGCTGGCCTGTGTGGGGGCAGCTGAGAGCAGAGCAACTATTCGAACAAAGCCATGCTCCTGGATGGCCTTGGTGGGTGCCTCTTTCCACAGAGATGTTTGCTGCAGGTCCCAAGACAGTTTTGAGCACAGCTGACTTCCACCACAGGACACCTTCTGTCTCTGTCCCTGCACCACCAACCTGGAACCGCCTGGCCTGGTGTTGCTCACAGCATCCCCAGCATGGGTTTGGCCTGCTCAGGTTCCAACATCTGCTGGCATTTGCTCTGGATCAGGGGAGGTAAATGTCCTCTGGCAGCCCCCACTGCCCTGCCCTCAGGAAAACTGCCAGCTCCCTTTTCAACATGCTGGGATAGAGCTGCCTGCACCTGAGAACCCCAGCTCAGGTATTCCCCACTTCTCCCTCCCCGCGTGGGGGTTGGTCTGAGACAGAGACTGAACTTACCTGTGCTACACAGCTGCAAAGGGGACACAGCCATTTGCAGTGACTCCAGCAGCTCCTGCACATCAGCTGGTGCACACACCTCTGGCCAGGTGGGATGGGAGGGGAGGGTAAAGCCATTCTGCAGCTACAAGCAGGGCTCTGCCACTACAAATGTGTCCACATGAGGGGTCTGTGTCACTGCAGCCAAGCACGGCACAGCAGTGCATGTTAATCACAACACTCCGGAAAGCATCCACAGCTCCAGGGGCAGGGCAGTGACAAAGAAAGGAGTTAAGTTTTATTTTAGGGTTGAAGAACTCCCTTACTCTCACTGAGCATTTCTGAATGACGCTAGTTTGGTAAGTCCTGCCCCAGTGACAGCAAGAGTTTATTGTGTCCTTAGCCTGCCCCCCCCCACTGTGCAGGCCATTGCCCACCTGAACTCCATGTACAGAGCATCCCTGCTTCTCTGCACGCTCATCCATCAGCTGCCACTGAGATGGATCCAAGACCTGGAGCTTTCAGCTGCTTGGAAGTTATTTGGGTTTTGGCTTTTTTTGTTGTTGCATTAGACTAGTCCCAGAGCCCATAAACACTGCCACCCTTTAACAGCCATGTTAAAATCCCCACAAGAGCTGCAGAGGTGCTGCTCGGTCTGGTGCTAGTGTAGGTGACAGACTCATGCTGTCACCAGTGCTGCTGGAGAGAGCTGCAGAGCAGCAGAGTGCTCCTGGCACCATGCAGAGCAGAGCTCCCCGTGAACCTGGAGCACTGCGACGGCTCTGGTGCCTCCTGCACAGCGGAGAGTAAGACACGGTGAGTGTGGTGCACAGCACTGCTTGCCCTTCACAGTGAGCATGGGGCACGGCCCTGCCTGCACTGCACACCCCACTGACAGCGCTGCACTCCCTGCACCGAGAGCTGCAGCCCCTCCCCAAACGGGAGAGCTGCAGGGGCCCCCACGAGCTGGAGCTCTGCACGTTGAGTAAGAGTGGGGTGGGTGGAAGGAAGAGGGCCACAATGAAAAACTGGGCAGTAAAGAGTAACCCTGTGTGACCCTGCACAGCTGGGTGGGACCTCGGGAGGTCTCTGCTCCAACACCTGCTTGAAGCCGGTCCTCATTAGAGGAACTTGTCCATCTGACTTCCAGGATCTTCAGGGATGGGCAATCCCTCCTCTTTGGGCCCCTATGCCAATGTCCAACCACCATCCTAGTATGGTTTTACCCCTGTATCTATTTGGAATTTCATATCTACCAGCTTCTGCCTGTTTCCTGTGTCCTGGGATAGGAACTGCTGGGAGGAATAACTGTCATGTGGGTACCCAAACACACACACTGAACATGTACGTGCATGTGTACACACCCACCCACCCACAGTAAAAGATAGATACAGATACACAGAGATGTGTATATCCATGGACATGCATTTACTTCTATATATGTTTTTACACACATTCATACAAACAAGACTTACTTTGCCCTCAGGAAGGCAGTTTCAGCACTTACAAGGGAATTTTCCCTACCTAGATCTGGCTAGCCATTTACCTGGACAGTAGTTCTTAAAGAACTGGGAAAGGAGCAGAGATTGCATCCCACAGACTGTTTATTCATTCAGTGCAACAAAGCTGGTTCTCAACATTCCCTGATAAGGGACTTGTATGAAGATGTGATGGCCCACAACACAGTGCTAGTGCTCTACATTAGCCAGCAGCTCCAAGACTAGCTCAGGTGCTTGGCTGACCTGATGATGACTCACAGAGCAGCTCCCCAGTAGCTGCACATGGGCAGGAGAGAAATAATCTCTTGCTGGCTGGCACCTGGGAAGGGTCATGAGCTCCTCCTGGCCACCCCCCAATTCCTTTGCATACTGGTCCAGAGTGGCTCAGAGTTCTGGGTGCAGCTGCAGAGGAGATTCAGGAGCGAGTCTGGTCAGGATGGCCTCAGCAACACAGTGCAAACCCCTGGTAGGTGCAGCTTCAGTGCCAAAGGAAAACGACCAAGATCTGAAAGAACTTACCAAGGGCATATTGGAACTGGGGATGGGGAGGAGAGAGAGGGAGAGACTGTCACCACACTCTGCTGTGCTGCTGCTCACTGGATGCTGTGAAGTTCTTCGCGAGGTTGCAGAGCTGACTCCCAGCTCACCAGGACCGTAAAACCCTTCCCAAGTTGGGGGGTCCCACTTGCCACGTATGCTGGACCTGGCACAGCCTGCCAGCTTGTGCAGTATCCTCACCTGCCAGGCTGGATGGATCTCCACAGGGCCTTGTGAGGCCCAGTGCTGTGCCTGTCTGCACCCACTGGCAAGGCAGGTACCTGTGCGTAGGCACAGGGTGCAGCTGCTGTAGTGGAGTGTGCTGGTGCCATACCTTGGTGAGAACAGGCCAAGGGAGCTGGGACACTGTGCCACACTTGTGTCACTCCCTGTCCCAGAGGCAGGGCTGACTGGACACACAGAGGTGCAGGATCTCTGCTCTGGCCATCTCTTGTGAAAGCACCTCTGTGTGTGCCCAGTGTGTGGTCCCAGCTGCCTCAGGGTTGGGCAGTGCTGCCCCATGCCCTGCTGCTGCCCACCTACAGACCCCCAGGGAGTTGTGCCACCTCAGCTGGGGCTGGGAGAGAGCCCGTGGGGCTTTGTTTGTGAATTGTGCCCCATGGGGCTTGTCCTGGCTCTGCAGGCTCTCTGAGAAGTGCTGTGGCACAGCTGGTTTCCAGCCTGAGGCTACACACCGTGGATGTGGTGGATGTCCTCACGGCACAAATCTGCATCCCTGGCTCCTGCCCTGTGGCACTCACACAGCCCCTGCTGCAGCCACTGCCTTGGCTCCACAGGGTGAGTGCTGCTGGCTGCCTGTGGCAGGGTCCTCATAGTGCTGCCATGCAGCTGCTGTGGTCACCCTGCTGCTTGGGGCTGCGTCACGCAGGGATAGTCCTGCTGTGTTGCTGCCCTGGCACAGTCCTGTGGTGTAGAGCAGAGCCCGTGCTCTCCCTGGCATCAGCTTGAACGCAGACATGA